CTGTGATAAACGTTTTCAGGTAAAATATAGCATCATTAAATTGTCACACAAATCAAATGACCCTCATCTAGCGGACAGTTTAACAGCGAATACACCTCACTTCATGATATATTACTCGTAAAATAAAGCTTGTACAGCCTGTACTACTGTAGACACGTAAAAATCTCACATCTTGTGACAAAGTCTGCCAACAAGCCGTCAACAAGATGTATTCGCACTGCTTGTCACAAGTTGTCAACAGGTTTGGAACAACTTGTAACAACCTTGTCGAAATTATCAGACTTGTTGCAAGGTTGTTCTGACAAGTCCGTTACATGCTTGATATAACAAGATTGTTACAACCTAGTGTTGACAACCTTGTAACACCCTTGTTATATCATGGCTGTAACAAACTTGTTAGCACAGTCTTGTAACAAGGCTGATAACGCCATCAAGCTTGTTACAAGTTGTTAACCGCTTGTTCCAAACTTGTTACAACAAACTGGGAACAAGCAATGTGAAGACAACTTGTTGGCAGCTTGTGAACAGACGTGTAACAACTTGTTTGCAGACTTGTTACAACTTGTGCGTTTTTACGTGTGTACCAGAGTATGCATGAACGACTTAAGCCCCGAGGATGAGAGTTGATGAGAGTTGGTAGTCACGTATTGCTACGGGGGTCATTTCAAGCTCTAGATTAACAAAATAAAGTTTTGATAAGTGTCCCAACTATGTTTTATAACTTAAATAGAAGACATGATAGTGTTGGGAAAGCATCAAGAACAGCTAACCAAGCTCGCGTGACTGCCAAACTCTCATACACTCGCATCCTCGCTTGGTCCGGGCATAACACATCTGTCCTTTTGTTCTAATTTCCAGGCACCATGGTCTATGACGTTTTGGTTAGTCTATGAACAAATCCGTAAAATGGCTGGAACTTCGGGATTTTAACATCGTCACATATAATGTAGGTACAATTATGAAAATTACACATTCCATATACGACGTATCCATACGTATTTCTTCAAACCATGCGTCATTATTTATATCATAGAGAGCATCCAATGTTTTCAGCTATAGACAAAATTTTGATCTGGACAAGAAGAACGAAACCATTACCATAGCTGGAAAGAGCATCTTAAAATGAGTAAAATTGCAAAGTTTGGTTGCGAATTGTTGTAAAATGAGGAAAATATAG